CCCTTGTCCCCCTCTCCGGCCCTGCGCGGGGCTCCGGCACCGGCTCCAGCCTCGGCGCGCCGCTGGGGGAGGCAGGCGAAGCCGGCGGGACTCCCTCCGTCGGCTCTCGGGGTTTGGCAGAACTAAATTGACACAACTTGGTGAGATACGGTCGATTTTTTTCGCCCCGATAGTGGGGGTATGCACACGCGGTTAGGTCTGGGCCCGGGACCCTCCGGCTTAGTTGATTTGTATTTATTTAAGCTTCACTTTTTCAAGCGACCCTCCCTCACCGTCCCACCCCACGCAGCTCTAACCCGGGCGATATTATCACCGGTTTCATTGGTTATTTTCCAACGGAACCGCAGCACTAAGCTTTAATTTTTCACAATTAAAAAGCGGCCGGGATGGCGGTGATCTCCTCCAGCCTGACAGCTCGCCCTAGCTCTCCCTGCTGTTAGCGAATGCTCCGCACCTACAAATTACGGCGGAAATGGGGGAAAGAGGGTATTTTTTTTCTTTTTTTTTTAACGGGAAAATACAGTAATGCCTCTAATTTAGCAATTACACCGATTCTCCTTTATTTTCGAGTGGCGCTGGTCGTTCAGCAGAATGTCACCGTGGTGGGCAGGCGGGTGGGAGCCCGAGGACAGCCCGGCTCAGGAGTGCCCAGTGCCCACTTGGGGAAAGTTTGCCCGGCAGGGACAGGGCAGGAGTGGGGAAGGGGGGACAGCGCCGGGACACGGCGGCACCGAGGGCCTCCCCTTGGGTCCCTGCTCTCAGAGCTTCACAGTCAGGAAAACCGGACAAACAAAACTAATTCAATGTGTCGCCTCTCCCTGACAGAATACACACAGTATTTTATAGAAATCCGGCTACAGAAAGGGCTGACTTTCCCGAACCCACGACCAATGTAAAAAAGACGCTCAGAAGGAGGAGAACATCCTCAAACTACTCCGTTGTCATCGTCATCATCATCATGTCCGTTTGATTTAAAAACAGCACGATAGGGAGAACGCTCTCACTGAACGCTGTCTCCTCAGCTTGCTTTTTTTCCTCCCAGCCACTCGGCTTTGTACCCCCAGATTTGCCGCTTTGAGTTGCTCGACACAAGCAGCGTTTTGCGTGTCTCCAGCGAGAGGGGGAACGCGGGGTGAACAGAGGGCTGCGAGAGGGAACTCGGGGGCTACGGGGCTCAACTTCGGGAAGGAATGAAGTAAAAAGAAGAGCGAGAGAATGAGAGAGTCTCCCAGGCAGCTCGATCCCATTAGCTCCGTCCTTGGGTTGCATATTTATACGGTCTAGGAGGTGAACAGATGGACTATCAATTTAATTCCATCTTCAACACCATCAGAGATTGATTTTCTACTCGCTTTTAATTTTGCCATAATTAATTAGATCATTACAACTGTTTTCTATTGATCTCCCTATTTAAACCTCAGATGCAAAGGGACTTCGGCAGATCCTTTAAAAACACAGAAGGGAAAAGGAACAGAGGGGTTTGCAAACTTTTTAAAGGGTTTTTTTTTTTCAGTTTTGACTTAGAAGATTTTCGGTGCAGAATAGCAAAAAACTGCCTCCGTGGCCTTTTATTTTAGGAGGCCTTTTTCGTTGCCTTTGTAATTTTCTTTTACGATTTGGTGAATCTTTGTCTTATTTATATATAATATACAAGATATATAATAGATTTAATCGGTTCGATTATGAAAACATAAGCTTGCACGTGTATATGCATATATATATATTCACACACAACGTGTTTAATATTGAGATTTACAGAGCCGGTGCGCACACATTTATATATGAGGAAACTATCGACAGAAGAGATGTGGTTTTCTGAAGGGCGAATATTTTTATTTGCCTCCCGTACGTGTCTCTCTGTTTGTGCACTTGAATCCCTCTCTAGCTGGGGGATATTTCACCCTGCGACTCCATCAGAAATGACAAAGGAAAACCAGCGCTGTTAGCTCCGGTTCCTAGCTCGGTTCCCAGCGCCCGCCGCAGCCTTTTCTTTTCCAAGCCTCCCCTGCAGCAAACGACTGACAGCCGGGGCAACAGCACGGCTCTGTGCTGGCAGTCGGTGAGGTTTGTATTTTAAACCTCTGTATCCTTCCCCCCCACCACCAAAAAAAAATCCCTAAATTAAAAGCTCTGTTTATATACTTAATTTGAGGAAACCAAACCGCGTAATTGTGCTTTTACCGCGAGCGGCAGCGCCGAGGAAAACCTCTCCGGCGGGGTTTGTTTGAAGCTTTGTTTGCAAATCATAAAATTGCTGACTGGGAGACGGGGGCGATCCGGAGCCGCGTCCGTCGGCGGAGCAGGTTTGGGGGGCTGGGGGC